TTTTTTTTTTTTTTTTTTAACTAAAATTCATTATTTTTGACACTTCTAATGTTGTATATATAACTTTAAATATTAACAGATTTTCGTCAGTCGATCTTTCTGGGAAGACAACATGATGTAGCGAAAGCGTGAACGAACGGGAAGATACAAGGAGATACTCTCTCCAGAACACGGGATACTCTCCCAAAAGAAAACACGATCAATTATTTTCATTCATCAAAATCAACTGCTTAATACAAAAGATGAGAGTCCTTTAAATAAGGATCTAACTCTAAACTTAGCTTATTCCCCAAGCTAATTATTAGTTAATAATAATAATAATAATAATAATAATTATAATAATATTTATTATAATATCTGCATCATTCTTCCCCGGTTGAGCAGAATTCGCCCTCGAATCCGACACGTTCCCGTTGGAGTAGCCCCGACATTTCCCTCGATCGAACACGAATGTTGAACGTCTACCAACAACCCCGAACGTAAGCATAACCTCGGCCGAGCATTGAACTGTTGCGAAGGCACATGTACACGTCACCATACACAAAATCGATACAGCCGAATTAACACAGAATATATCACATTGTTTGTCGCGCTCAAAACCATAACAACGGACAAACATCCCGTTGTGGGGAGACTTCGCGATAGGAAATAGGAAAATGGCCCACCAGTTATGGAGCATCGTATGCGGCTCCAAAAAAGCATCTTTGGCCATAATACTTAATAAATCGGGTGTGAATGACGACTTCTCATTTGAAGACTTAATTGTTGCGATGTCCCATGCGGGACCCATATAACTGCAAAAATATGTCTTCGCCGCCGGAGCCTCCTCATCAAAAATGGGCGGACCGTCATACATTGGCCCGTCAACTAGATCCTCGTTGAATTCAGGAATGTGAGTGCGAAACGGGACCACTGATTGACCAAATGCACAGCCAAAATCCCTCAGGAAAGGCCCAATTGTTGCAGCATCTCCACAGGCCCAAAAATTGTTTTTGTGAGGCCCAAAAGTGTGGCTTAAGTCGTCTCCTTCACACGCCCACAACCTACGTCCAAAGCCTCTCGCCGCCGCCCTCTGTACCTCTGTTGTTCAATTCGAAAAATTGAGCAGCGCCGCACCCAATCTCGTTCTCACTGCCTTGCCATGCATCGGGGCCGCCGTCACAGGCGAACCCTGCGGCTACGCGCCACCGGTCGCGACGAGCCTTGCGCCCTCCGTTGTCGCCAAAACCGGTCGGGTGTTGTCGCCAATCGAGCTCATCGGGCGTGGAAAAGCCCTCAGCGGTCCAACACGCCTCGCGGCAAAAGAAGTCGCTGCCGTCGGTAACGGCTCGAAGCCCCTCCTGCGGCCACCGCCGACCGTTATCCTTGCCTTCAGTAGCTCGACGGAAATCACCGTCTAGGGTTCCGTGCGACCCTCCACCTGCTGCAGGTCGTCGGAAATCGCCGCCGAGGACTGCGCGAATGGGCGAAATTTGGTAATCAAAACCCTCCTCGTCCGAGGCCAGACCATCGTGGTCGAACCAGACCTCCCCGTGGGTCCCTCGGCCACTGCGCATCATGCCACGCGCTCGCGGACCGTCGGCCCTGCGTGGAGGTTTGTCGAAAACAGCACTCCACCGTAAGTCGTGGTCCCTCGATATTTCGTCGGAAACATCACCGGTCAACGTTGGCAGTGGTGATCGTCGGCGAGGCGCTCCGCCAGAACCTCGACCCCCACTACCTCCGCGTATCCCTCCGCAATGGCCCCGGCTAGCCCCTTTGCGGTTCGTACGTACCTCGTTCATCATGGTATTCATTGTCTGGCGTAATTCGTCGATCCCCATAGAAAGTTCATCAACCCGATCATCCATACTGTGAATCCGATCATCCATCCGTTGCAATCGGTCGTAGATGGTAGGATCGTTGTTGTTTCCTCTCATTGGCGGCATCGTGGAACGTACCCGGTCTCTGGATACCAATTGATGTAGCGAAAGCGTGCGAATAGGAAGGATAAAACGAGATACTCTCTCCAGAACACGGGATACTCTCCCAAAAGAAAACACGATCAATTATTTTCATTCATCAAAATCAACTGCTTAATACAAAAGATGAGAGTCCTTTAAATAAGGATCTAACCCTAAACTTAGCTTATTCCCCAAGTTAATTATTAGTTAATAATAATAATAATAATAATAATAATAATAATAATAATAATAATATTTATTATAATATCTGCATCACAACAGTAGCCAAAACCGAACCATTTGATGACCGGAAAAATGT